AAAACATGACTTGGAATTTGAAAATAATGAGAAACTTTCTCAAAACATGACTTAGAATTTGAAAATAATGAGAAACTTTCTCAAAACATGACTTAGAATTTGAAAATAATGGGAAACTTTCTCAAACATGACTTAGAATTTGAAAATAATGGGGAACTTTCCCAAAACATGACTTAATATCACAAAAATAATGGGAAACTCTCTCAAAACATGATTTAATATCTCAAAAATAATGGGAAACTTTCTCAAAACATGACTTAATATCTCAAAAATAATGGGAAACTTTCTCAAAACATGACTTAATATCTGAAAATTATAAGAAACCTTCTCAAAATAATGACATAATATCTCCAAAATAATGGGAAACTTTCTCAAAACATGACTTAATAACACGAAAATAATGAGAAACTTTCTCAAAACATGACTTAGAATTTGAAAATAATGAGAAACTTTCTCAAACATGACTTAGAATTTGAAAATAATGGGGAACTTTCTCAAACATGACTTAGAATTTGAAAATAATGGGGAACTTTCTCAAAACATGACTTAATATCACAAAAATAATGGGAAACTTTCTCAAAACATGACTTAATATCACAAAAATAATGGGAAACTTTCTCAAAACATGACTTAGAATTTGAAAATAATGAGAAACTTTCTCAAACATGACTTAGAATTTGAAAATAATGGGGAACTTTCTCAAACATGACTTAGAATTTGAAAATAATGGGAAACTTTCTCAAACATGACTTAGAATTTGAAAATAATGGGGAACTTTCCCAAAACATGACTTAATATCACAAAAATAATGGGAAACTCTCTCAAAACATGATTTAATATCTCAAAAATAATGGGAAACTTTCTCAAAACATGACTTAATATCTCAAAAATAATGGGAAACTTTCTCAAAACATGACTTAATATCTGAAAATTATAAGAAACCTTCTCAAAATAATGACATAATATCTCCAAAATAATGGGAAACTTTCTCAAAACATGACTTAGAATTTGAAAATAATGGGAAGCTTTCTGAAAACATGACTTAGAATTTGAAAATAATGGGAAACTTTCTCAAAACATGAATATCTGAAAAATTATCAGAAACCTTCTCAAAATAACATAATGACATAATAAATAGATACTTTCTCAAAATGTGACTTAATATCTCAAAATAATTCTCAAAATAATGACTTAGTATTTGAAAATAATTAGAAACTTTCTTAAAACATGACTTAATATCTCAAAATAATGAGAAACTTTCTCGAAATAATGACTTAGTATCTCAGCATAATAAGAATGACAACTTTGTACTCTCTTATTATTTTGAGATACCAAGTCATTATTCTGAGAATGTTTTTTATTACCTGAGATACAAATGGATAATTTTGAAATAATTAAGATATTTTTTCGAGAAAACTTTTCATTATAATAACTTAAAGGATTTTTTTGGTGGAAATGGGCTTCCACAAGAACAGGTTATATCAATGTAATGAAACATTTTCAAGGTGAAAATTAGAAATAAAATGTTTAGACTGCTTAATTTGTTTGTTAAGCAAATATACTCTAGTTTTTACCCAATATATTGATACTTTCTTGGAGTAAAGAGATGAGAAAAATCTGTCATTTGGTTATTGTGACTTTTGTTTTCCAGGACTTTGCCATTAAAACAGTGAAGAGCACCCACGAGTTTTGGAAGGCACTGATTTCTAAGAAGACTGATGCTGGCGAGTTAAACTGGTGAGGACTTACGCTCCATTACAGACAGTAAAGGCTATAAATTCTATCTGTGATATTTCCTGCCATAACAAGCTTGAGATAAATATCAAGGATGCTGAGTTTGAGTCAGCTAAATCATAATCCTGCTCAGTTAATGGGCTGTTTAATACTTTTTTATTGTTGTAAATATTTGCCTCTCTGAAACTTTCTTTGTTTTAACTCTTACTTGAATCAGCATGAACACCAGTGTGTCAGACAGTCCATTCTGCTGCTCCGCTGGGGACGCAGAGGCTGTGGTTAAGTCTGTAAGTCCATTTTTTATTATTAAATTCACATAACAGCTCAATCCTTACTTTAATGAGATTAGAAATGACAAACATAACAGTGTGCTGGATAACCTGGTGACACACAAAGCCCTCAGACAAAGAGAGAGGATCATTAGTGAGGCAGTTCACGCTAACTGATTCATTTGGCAACATCAGGTCATTGGTTTTCAGTTCAGATAGAAACCAGCATTTCATCCCTCTCACAAAATGCAAAACAGACCCCCGATATATCACAGCAGTTAATTAGTCCAAAACATCTCAGCAGCACATGTGTATTGCTCATTGCCTCCCAGCTGCATTTATGAAGCCAAAATATCTCTTACAGGCGTGTGCTTTTGGAGACGAAGATCCCATTCCAAGCTCAGGTGGGTGTTTGCACATTTACCTGTTGTATCGCAGCTACTTTATGTTGCTACTTGTGCAAATCACACATATACTCGATTATTTTTCAGTGGACAAATGGTTCTACTATGAGAAGTAAGAAGAAAAGCCCGAGCAGGAACCTTCATCCCTTCATTCGTCTGGTTTCAACACATCAGAGCAGCACATGAAGTGGACTGGATTTATATTTCATGTCACATTTACTCGCTTCTTTGTTCACACTTGAATGTCTGATGCTGTTGTGTGATTGTGGCACCGTATTACATTTAAGTTACTGGATAGCAGCCTGATTTCAGGCTTGACAGAACATCACAATAAACCATGCTAAAAGCCAGGGTATTGATTTTATTGCCTCTTGTCGTTATCACATAAGGCTTGAGCCCCAGAATATGGATCTCAAGTGTCTGCAGCCTTTGAAATACATACACTCATTTCTGTACAGTCCTCCATCCAATAATGCATGTAGACAATAGAATTAACTGCACTACTGCGTATGGGAAATTACAATAAATGATGTATTGTTCCTAAAATGTAATAGCTACTGAACAGTACAAATTACCGGTTATTAAAGTCCGTGGCTGTGAGAGGATGATCCCCATGGGGTGCTTCTGTAGGCTGCAATTAAACAATAGGCTCCAACAACCAACAGAGGCCTTCACAGTGTGGAGAGAAAATATGGTTACAACTGATAAAATTGTTGTTTTATAGCTAGCAGGATAAAAACATGATCTGTTTTCCTGCTGAAATTACACCTGCTGTAACTGCATGACAATTTATTTTAATTACTGCCTGATGCGACTGCTTTCAAAGGATAAAAGTGATGCATTTTAAAGGTTTGGTGTGGAAGGTTTAAGGGGATATATTGGCAGAAATGGAATATAATACAGTAAGTATGTTTTCTTTAGTGTGTAATCACCTGAAAATAAGAATCCTTGTGTATTCATTAACTTAGAATGAGCAGTTTATATCTGCTAAGGGAGTGGATTAACAAACCAAACACTGACTCTAGGTAGGGTCATTCAGGTTTTCGTGTTGGCCACCGTAGTTCACAGACCCTCCATAAAGAGAGTGTTGAAAAAAACACTGATTTTTAAAAATGTAAAATTCCTTTTTTTTTAGTGTTTTCACCGGTTTAATTCAGCGGGTCAATTTGTTTGGGAGAGGAAGAGACCACTGCAGATAATTCAGCTCCAGGTAAAAACCTCCCGAATGTCTGGATCTGAAGTTATCATAGAAAAAGGTGAGCAGGTGCTGGGCTAGCGGCCTGTCTGCAACATGCAAAACTGCATCGGAAAAACACTGATTTGTAACATGAATTGCTTTACTCAGTGTATTCACCACTTTAAATAACTGGGTTCATTTGTTTTTGTGAGCGAGGGACTTCTGCTGAGAATTCGGCTCATGGTAAAAAACTTCCTGAGCGTCTGGATCAGAAATAAAGTGAGCACATATGTAGTTTTCAGAGACAACTCAGGAGCATGGGCTAATGGCCTGTCTGTGATGTGCCAAACAGGGTAGCAAAAACACCTGTTTATAACATTAAACTGCTTTAATCAGTGTTTTTACCAGTTTTAATCACCTGGTCTGTTTGTTTTGGAGAAGACGAGACCTCTGTGGATAATTCGGCAACAATGAACACTGAAGAAAATCTGGAAGAATTTCAGCTGGTTAAAATCTACAGTCACCACCACTAGATGCCACTAAATCCCCCAAAATCTCACACACTGTTCCTTTAATGACCGAATGACATTTTTCTCTATAATGGAACGATTAATAACACAGGCTGGCCTGTAAGGGATAGTAAAAGTAAATTTATACACTTTAAAATAATTCATAGATATTACTGGACTCCAGCCAGATTTAAAAAGCTTGGTCTGATTGAATTGACTGAAGCGATGAGTGCTGGAAATGTAAAGGTTCTTAGGGTACTTTTCTACACCTCATGTGGGACTGTCCCCTGGTTTCCCCATTTTGGACCCGAGTGGTTGGGGTAATCGAAGTGTGGCTGGAACAGCCCTTGTCAAATACGGCATGTTTTTGCCTTCCTGGAGACAAATTTGTTCTACCAGCGGTGGCGCGTGGATTTTGTACCTGCAGACTACCATGTGAATGTTTTGTATATTTATGTTGCAGGATATTTTTGACAAATTTGAAAAATAAAAAAAATGTAATGACAAAAAACATAATGGAACACTTAGAGAATACACATATGCCTGTTGTTGAGAAATGAAAGTAGGCTTGTACACTATCTCTCTGTGAAATGTGGTGAAGCAGAAATATAAAGCAGCATTAATGGAGGTATTAAAGTAAAGTACAAATGCCTTAAAGTTGTACTTAAGTAGGCTACAGCACTTGAGTAAATGTACTTAGTTATTTTTCATTTATGGTACTGACTGACACTTGACCTCCTATTAAGAAGCAGCTGCTGGTGTGCACTTCCTGTTCAGCAAAAAGTCTCATGAGGGCGCTAATGCACCACATTGAACACCAGCTGCGGAATTCTAACGCACGAAGAAGAAAAAGCGGAACTCTGATTGACTGTTTCCAAGGAGACCATTGATACTATTGAGTGCTGGACTGCTGGTCAGTAGCGAGAGGTAAGTCAGCTAACGTTAAAGTTAGCGCACAGTTTCTATGTTAAGACACAATAGAACATATTGTGCCGTTACCTCAGCCCATAGTGGGTTAGAGCGGAGTCGGTAGTCCGTTAAACGCTGCCCTGATGTACGAGACCAGACTCTAGAATGTACCAGAGGTTTAACGTTAAGCTAACATGCTAATGCTAACTAGCAAAAAAAAAACGTCATCTAACGTTACCGTTATGTCGGCTTGCTAGCACGCTGAAACAAGCCAAATACAACAGACACGACTACAACTTATTGTTGTGATAGTTTGAACATTACACTATAGGCGAATGTAATTGTCATGTAACAATACAGCAGAAATGAGCGCTGTTAGATAAGAATGTAACATTAGCTAAGTTAGCCGCCGATAACGGTGATCATGAACACAGGTGTGTGGAGGCGCTAGCTAAGTTCGAGCTACAGGATCTGTCAAGTTCAGTGAAAATAACATTTTACTTACAGGTTATCAGCCATTTGTTTGAGCTGTGTGTACAGCTGTAGTGTCATGTCACATCTATGTAGAGCAGGATGTGATAAACACCTGTGTGATGTGATGTAATGTAGCAACAGACCTTTATCACGGCAGACATCTTGACCTGTCATAGTAGAAGAAACACAGGTGAAATAGATTTAGGATCAGCTACATGAATTAGAATAGAATAGGAGTCCTTTATTGTCATTTTTTAAATTTTATTTTTGTTTCATCAACATAACAGCTGTAATATCCAGAAGTTGTCTATAGCCAATCTACATTGTAATTTGCTCTGAGTAAGAATCAACTATGAAACATCACACAGTTTTAGAGTTTCCATATATGTCAGAAATGATTGCCATGTCCTGTTAAATGTATCCGCAGAGCCACCCAGCATGCACCTTTTTTTCTCCAAGTGTAGAAAACTCATTGGACATGTATGGGAGACGCCTCCTGCTTCCACTTCATAAGGCATCTAGCAGTTAAGGAACCAAAGGCAAGAGCATTCAAATAGTGTCTAGGAAGAGGTATGTTCTCGGGAACTACTCCGAAAAAGCTGAGTCCAAAAACCACCAATTATCCAATTACAATGGCATTTTTAAAAGCTACAGCTGTACGCAGTGCAAGTTAAAAGGTACAAACAAGTGACAACCCAGGTAAAAACCTTCATCACATCACCAATAAATACAAATAAAATAAATTATAATCAATAGTAAGAGGCAGATGTTGTCACTTAATGTATGTAATGTCACCAAGACTAGGATTAAAGATTAGGACCGTTTATGAGGTATGGGAGTTTAGAGTTCTGATGGCCCAAGGAAAGAAACTGTTTTTAAGTGTACCGGTACCGCCTGTTGGATGGCAGTAAGGCGAACAGTGAGTAGCCAGGATGGGAGGGGTCCTGTATGATGTTCCTGGCAATGTAGAGGCACTGGGAGCAGGAGGTGTCCTCCAGGGAGGGCAGAGAGCAGCTGATTTTCTCTGCCATGTTTGTTGTTGTTTTAAATGTTATATCTGTGCTTTTCCTGCTTTGACAGGTTATCCCAGAAGAAATTTTTGCTGCTCACTTTAGTCTTCTTTTACTCTCCCCAGAAATAAAATAGCTTCTTATTTGGAGTTTATCAAATTCTGATCAGTTTCTCCTAACCCCCTGAGGAGAAATAAGGAGCAAAAGCATGAATCAGCAGGAGTTCTTTTGCTGCGCTCAGAGGTTGCTCAACAGTGAAAACTGATAAAATACACAGACTTGACACTTAATTTTGGTCATTGAGACAAATTTCTGAAATTGTGCATGCTAATATGTAAGCTAATCAAGTTGTCTTTTGGATTTTAGCATTATCTCAAGCTGATTATCTCAGACAAATAAAGATTACTGCAGCGACAGAGGAAAAAGAGCATTTTAATATCTTAAATTAGGATCTGGCTGAGGCGAGAGGAAGGCTATTCCTCAGGAGCTGAATTTAAGAAGTATGAGAAAATGGTCAACATCATACATGGTGTCATACAGAGCTCAGTTATGTCTAGGAGAAATAAACAAGACAAAAAAAGAGATTGTGAATTTTCCTTTCCTCTGGGATGAGGTCTGATTTTATTAAACGCACTACTTGATGTATGTCCATCCAATTCTATGGCACAATTTTCTGCTTTAATTATGATGGATGTTTTTAATATTCTGTACACCTTACTTACACATAAGTAGGAGCAAAAATATGCAGTGTCAAAGAAAGCATTTCTATTTTTCTGGCCACTTAGTGCAGTTTTATGTAACAGGAATCTGACTTCTTTCTTGTTTCAGTCAAAAGCCATCAAGATGTCATTTTTATTCGACTGGATCTACAGGGGGTTTAGTAGTGTTTTGCAGTTCTTAGGTAAGTACTGTGTGCAGTTTTGCAACATTTTGAAAGGTAACAGGGAAAGTATTTCACTTTGAGGAAAGGTACTTTTCATTGGTTAGGGTTGGTAGTATTGATATGTAAGTGGTCCAGGTTGGGCTTCATCAAAATAACCTTAAGTCATAAACTAATGCATAGTTTGGTGTATGAAACAGACCACAAAGTCATCTGTAACCACAGAGTATTCTTTCTGAAATGTAGTCACTGCAGTAAAAGTGTTAAGTACGCAGGTTTTTCCAGCTCAGGCATTAAGTAGGACTTGGATTATACTCTTGAACGTTGTGTCTCATTTCTGATACACTTGTGTAATGTATCTCCCAGGTCTGTACAAAAAGTCTGGGAAGCTGGTTTTCCTGGGTCTGGACAACGCTGGTAAAACAACGCTCCTACACATGTTGAAAGATGACCGACTTGGCCAACACGTGCCGACCCTGCATCCAAGTAAGGAGAGATTCAGATAGTAGTGTGACATCCTGGGTTGACATGTGGTTGGTGTACAGAAAGTACAGCGTATTGCCAACTTTAAAGCTGAAAATTTCCAAGACATGTTTGGCTTTGTATAGATGTGACTTTATACTTTTTGGGCAGATAGTCATCTGCGATATATGATGATATTCTGGCATCAGTGTGGTAATGATCTCCAATGAAGCTGTGTTTTTTATGGTGGTTTGAAAGTTATATAATGGCTGGTGTTTGTGATTTTGTGAGTAGTAGAGTATTAAAGTTGTGTTTTAATGTGAGTTTATTGTTCAGAATATAAATACAGCATGAATGATTTCTTCTTTTATAATAATATTCCATCTGTTTGGGTATATTAAGGCATATTCTCCTCCTCAGTTACATAGACATAGTTATTTGATGACTTATGTAGATGACTGTTTCACTGTTTCTCTGTGCGGGTGAAAAATCACTTGTGAAAAATGAATGTTGTCATCTTTTTCCTCAAAGCATCTGAGGAGCTGTCAATTGGTGGGATGACATTTACTACATTTGATCTGGGAGGACACGTACAAGGTGAGATCTTTTGCCATTTTTGTCAATATTAACACACTATAGGAGGTTATTACTGCTTTACTGCTTTTTTTGCTGTCTCAGATTTTGGTGAAATATCACATCATTAGGCAGGATGTGCACTTCTCAGCCCAGTTTTCTGAAAGTAATTTAAAATTCAGCGTATTAGCTTGTAGATTTTTGTATTGTCACCTCACATCTGCATGGATGTGGTGTACATTATCAGGCTGTCTCATTCATCGCTCTTCATAAATTTTGTGATGAAACAAAAAAATAGCTGGGATGAGAGAGCTGGCGCTGGGATAAATGGACGTATTTATTGTTGAGTTTGCGTTTTGTTCTGTCTTTGTTGTTGAGTTCTACGTATTTTAAAGGCCCATCCAGGGACAGGCAAATTAGCCTAGACTATAAAAGGGGCTTTCACACCTGCCCTGTTTGGTTCAGCTCAATCATACTCAAGTTCATTTGCACCCTAAGTACAGTTCGTTTCAGCAGGTGTGAACACAGCAATCACACTCAGGTGCGCATCAAAACAACAGGACCGAGACCTTCTTGTAGAGGTGGTCTCAGTCCAGTTACAAATGAACTCTGGTGCAGTTCGTTTGTGGTGAGAACATGTTCCGACCTGGATCTGAACCAACTGCAGTCACATGACACATTGTTTGGGTTAAACATGAGCATGTTACAGTCCTGGAGGATTATTAATGTGCACCTCCTCCTGTACTGCCTTAATATGCACATTCAGCACATCCAATGCATCAAAACATTGTTTTCTAGTTGGAGCCGCGCCTCTTTTTCAAACTGTATGTTTTGACTAAAATGAACAATGACAGCAATATAGTCCACGATGAGCAGTGCTAAAATCAACCTGCGTAGTTGTCCCTCCATTGTGACATTAGAAAGTGTCACATTTTTTTTTTAATTTTTTTTTTTTATATACTTTATTAATCCCCGAGGGGAAATTCAATTTTTCACTCTGTTGTCAATTACACACAGGTCCGAACACACACATGCACAAACTGGACCTATACATGCACTAAGTGGAGAGATGTCAGAGTGGGCTGCCCATGACAGGCACTCCGAGCGGTTGGGGGGTTCGGTGCCTTGCTCAGTGCCCAGGAGGTGAACTGGTACCTCTCCAGCCACCAGTCCACGCTCCATATTTTGGTCCAGACAGGGACTTGAACAGGCGACCCTCCGGTTCCCAACCCAAGTCCCTATGGACTGAGCTACTGCCGCCCCACAATTTATCTTGCAAGTAGGGATGGGCAGCACAAGCAAAAACACTATTCGAAAATCGTGGCAACTATTCGACAATTTTTCGAATAATCACCCCCACCCCCACCCCCTGCTCCCGGAGCCACGCACACAGAGATCCATTCATCATTAAATGCCCGAACATACTCGGAACGTATGCGGAACGGACTCCACGGAGGTCTGCGCGGACTCAAAGCGGACGTCCGCGAGCCCTGTGCACGCAAACCTCTGCACACCAGTGACTGCTCGGCATATATTTTTCACATTGCGGGGATTTTTCACGGACATTTTTACAGGAAACTACAACACGGAAGTGCGCTCGACTATGAAAGCCCGAATGACTGCGGACATTCCTCGCGGAGTAGTAGTCTCTGCATGTTTCTCCTGTTTGTAGAAGAGCATCAAACTAGCTGGTAGCCCATCTCCCACCGCTGTAGCAATCCTGTACTGCCCTCGTGCAGTTAGGAGCTGAATTGCATGTCAAATAAAGGGGGGGAAATAAGATGGCGAATAGTAATAGTCGCATTAAAAAATAGATTTTTCAAAAATAAAACAACTATTCAAAATTCGAAAATCGTGACTCATCCCTACTTGCAAGTGTACTCTTCTTCAACGTTTGGTTTACTTCCTGGATTTTTCCCACATGGAAATTCTGACCAATCAAGAGCGGCTTTCTCGCACAAGGCACTTGATCTGCCATCACCATCAGTTATCTGTGGCTGCCACATGGTGTCTCTCTGCTCCTGCAGCTCCAAAGCATAATTATATTTTTAGAGATTTCAAATCAGCTCTGATGGAGCTAATAAACCTAAAATATTGAACACATTTGAATGGAAATTTAAAGGCAGGAAGTTGTATCAGTGCTGCTGGGAATTATTTTGAAGAAAGAAGGCACTGCCCCAATAGATCATGAGATGGATGTAGAGGTTAATTTTACAATAATTAACACAGTATTTAATGTGATGGTAAAATGGTGAAGTCATATTGACCTTGTAGAGTCAAATCAAGTATCCTGTAGCTGAGCAGAGCATTCACAATTGCATTAAATAAATTAGGACAGTTAATTAACAAAGTGTTTCCTCTTTGTCAATAGCTCGAAGAGTGTGGAAGAACTACCTCCCGGCTGTGAATGGAGTCGTCTTTCTCGTCGACTGCGCAGATCACGACAGACTCATTGAATCCAAGACTGAACTCGATGTGAGATTAAACATCACCGTCACAAGCTGTTTCCATGGCTCAGCACTGACTGCCTGTTAATGGTGGATTGATGATGATTGTGTCGCTCTCCTATTTCTAGGCTCTCCTGGGAGACGAGACCATAGTCAATGTTCCAGTGTTGGTGTTGGGTAATAAAATTGACCGCCCTGAGGCCATCAGTGAAGGAGGACTGAGAGGAGCTTTTGCTCTTGATGGTCAAGTTACCGGAAAGGTAGGCGTGTCATGGATCCTGTCTTTGAATTCACAGAAACAATATGATATCTCTGTCTGCTTGCTGACCATCCTCCTCATAAATCCGTCTTTGCTATCGACAGGGAAATGTCTCTCTGAAGGAGCTGAACGCCCGGCCGCTGGAGATTTTCATGTGCAGCGTGTTGAAAAAACAAGGCTATGGGGAAGGTTTCAGATGGTTATCACAGTACATGGACTGACACTGAAGCTTAACCAGAGGGGATTTTCTTGACATATTTTCCACAAAGCATGACAAAGACTTTGTCTCCTTGCCAGTGTCAACCAGCCCAAATTTTAAACCACAGTATTCAGAGCATATTAAGATCATATTCTTTTTAACACTGAAAGCATTTATTCAGGATTTAAAGGTTTCTATGCAAACTTTTAAAAGTGGTTCATGGTGAACTGTCCTACCTGTGTTATTAATGTGAGAATTAACTGAGTTGTCTAACTCCATGGCATGTTAATTAGGTTACATCCAAAGGTTACATCATACCTGATTACAGCATATGAGCAGACATACATTATGCAAGAGCGTAGGTACATACATATCAGTGTTGCATTATTTAGTATGGATAAAACCAGCTGCTCTAGTTGGAATTTATTAGGAAGCAAGTGATGTAAGTTAAGGACTCGATGGTGAATGTGTAGGGTAGTTTAACGCTTGTCTGACATCTGATTAAAATGGTCGAGTTTAGATTTTAAAATATATAACTAAATACAGGAGATCAATTTCAGTTCATTTAATCTAATGATACGCAGCCACTGCCTTCAAAGCATACAGCCAAAGATGTATGCTAATGACTTTGGGATTAGCAGGGGGAGAGATTGGACTTCAACAAAAGATATCTTCCTTCCATGCTGAGCGCTGAGCCAAAATAACAGAACAAAACATCAGATCCCCTTAGAAACCAAAAAAGAGGAGAGACGGCATGTCCCATAAATGAAGGCGCTGAGTAAACTGAGTCAAACTGTCAGTGTCTCGATGGAACTGGCTCGTTTATTTTTGCATCTTTTCCTATATGCGTTGACCCAAAGTGATGCTACTGTACATGCTGCGTTGAAGGCAGCTAAATGGAAGTGGTAGAAATAAGTCTATAACATCTTTGATTCTGGGGTGTCATCTTCAGTGTCTTGGGTACAGGACTCAAAGATAAAATGTTCATACTGAACATAATATGATGTTCAGTGGCTGCTCTTGCTTGATTATACAGGGTTCCCACGGTCATGAAATTCCTAGAAAAGTTTTGAAATTAGAAAAACTGTTTTCCAGGCCTGGAAATGGTTTACAATTAACATAATGTTTTAGAAGAGTTTTGAATTTACATTGATTTGGCCTTTGTTTAAGATATGTTCATAAAAATCCCAAAACATGTCGTTAAGCAAAACACGTTCCTGGTATTACCAATTTAAAATCTCGGGACTGTTGAAATGTCACTAGTATAATGTGATATACATAGACCAGGCATCGTGTCATCGTCAAGGCCAAGAAATGCAATGTCGCATCAGAAAAGAAACAGAAAAATGCTGAAAAGCTGTTTTCAACATGTCCTTTACTAACTTTTGCGGTGTTTGGTCTTGCAGGGATGTAGCCATTTTTCTGCCATGGTTCGCGTCCTGTAGGTGATATTTTTGTGGGCGTGTTACACCAAAACCTGTTTCCCCCTGGCAATATTTTTGCAAGCGCACCGTTGCTGGCACCGCCAAGAACGATTGTGATTGGTTGAAAGAAATAAGCTCAAGCTGGCTGATGGTGTCACCTGCAACTCAGCTGGTCAAATCAACAGTGGCTGGTTTTAGGACATAAAGCATGTCACCTGTTTCTACAGCCAATCAGATTGTAGTGATCCAACTGGATGGGGGAAGCCTGAAGGGGCATGATGGCAATCGGCTTTAATTTATCAAGGCAGCACGAACACTCAGGTTCAGGCAAGGTCACAAAATAGTTATTAGACATGTCTATGATACTAACCATTACTAAGAAATAAATGCAGTCAATGCACAAATGCATCCAAACATGTCAAATTCAAAATGAAGCTTTTGATTTCCTGGTCCAACTGCGTCTCAACCCTCACCTTTGGTCATGAGTTCTGGGTAATGACCGAAAGAAGGAGGTCGCGTATACTAGCAGCTGAAATGAGTGTCCTCTGTGGGTCAGCCTGGGCTCATCCTTAGAGATAGGGTAAGGAGTTCAGAGTAGAGCCACTGCTTCTTCGCTGCGAAAGGGGTCAGTTGAGGTGGACATCTATAGGATCTTCAGTTCTCTGTCCCCCACAAAGAGGCACCGCTTTGATGTTTTGCAAAGTACCCATATGGTCTGGTTTACTGGCATGTCTGGCTGGCAAAATATTACAGAAAAGTTGTGAAAATTAATCAGTAAAAAGTGGGAACTCTGATTATATCATGAAGGCTGTGATAATGTATTGCACTTAAAAGTGTCGGGAAGCAATGAAGTAGGATGATCAGCTGTACTGTAGCAGAGACAATCTCTGTATGTAAGAGTAGGAAAGAATATATGTAGTTCTGAGCCTGTTAGTTTAAATCGTTAAATTAAATTTTTATTATTTTTTCCTTTAACTTAGAGCCTGAGCAATATTTCGGCATGTACTCATCATGTAGGCTGTGTAACAGGACTGCAGGTGATTTACTTTTTGACTATCTGAGGAGATATGAGAGTGCACTTGCAAACATGCTAACGAAGAATATTTGAGTCCCTACCTGCATACATTTTTACAATGTCCCGTGTGAATTTGTATCCTCGTTATGAGAAGCTGGAAATGGGCGATGGGGAGCAGAAACATTTGATCATCGCACCCCATTTACCGTTTCCTGCGTCCCTCGTTTACAGGGTGACATTTTGAATATTCTGTTAATTAATATATGCAGGGGTGTTTGTGACTGAGATAAAAATATACATAGGGAAGAGATTTTTTTTTTTTACAGAGTGTTTACTGAGATGCATGTAAACAAACTGCTTTTCCTTTGAACAGTGTTATGAACCAGTCGCTGAACCCCTGTAAATTATGTATAATACAGATGTAAATGTTTGTACAGTAACTGCCGACTAGCTGACACTAATAAAGCACTGGAGTTATTTATAGCTGAATACTTGAAATATTTGCAGCAATTATCTGTGGTAATAGTTTTAACTTGAAGGATGCACACATAAAGATCTATGTATGTGGTGAGTGGTTCACGTGTAATAAAACCAACTTTGTTTTTGCACTAGATGTGTCATTTTTATGTGTAACTCCAATTAAAACCTCCTTCACACACTTGTATTCCTCATTAAGACATTTTTTTATCTGCGTATTAGTGTTCGAGAGGCATTTTTACTCTTAAGGAGTTTAAAGAAATTGTTGAAGTGGGACCAGTTTGTTATTCAAGGCTTGTCACTTCTGGTTATTTGCTCAGCATCTGCTACACACTTTAAGCCTGTCAGAAAAATAAATCAAGTGTAAATGATGCCAGACACATATCTCAAGATAACCCTGTTGAAAAAGATTCAGATATCAGAGGTGGAAAGTGACCAATACTTTAGATTGTCTCTGCTGTTATCCAGTAGTGCCCCACCCTGTTGTGGTGTTCCCCCAGGGCTCTATCATGGGTCCCCTATTAGACACTCTTCAGCAGTAACACTATACACTGAAGTTGGCTTATGTTTAATTCTTTTTAAGGAATGACAAAATGCTTTAATTAGGTTTTCCTCTGAGTTATGTCATCGAGTAAATAAATCTCTCCATATGTATATATAACATATATATAACCATTAAAATGCAAAGTAATTAATATGGTTAAAACAGCAAGCCTAGGGAGTTAGCACTTTCGCAATTAATTGTTTTGTGTACTATATCATAACTTATTTTAGATCAATTTGTTTTTGAGATTTGTATTTTTTTGTCTGGGTGTTTCTCAAGGTCCAGGAAGGATCCTTAAATGGCTGAATTTCAAGGATGCTACATCATAAAATCCTGCCTAATGACTGTTTCAATGTCAAGGATCCTTCAAATTCTACCAAGGACTGAGCCCTTCATTCAGACAATTTTCAAGGATGTATGTGTGTATCCTCAGCAGGTATAAAGAACCCACAATTTTTTGCAAACTGTTTTGCTGGAAATGAAGGCGGGGTCTCTTCAATGAAACTTGCGCCAGTGGAGCTCAGCAGACTTAGATAAATATGTCACTTATTTGGATTAATATCTTCAGGTTTTTATCATATAAGCATGAAAAATTATTGACAGAAACCTCTTAATATACATTTTCCAATATGTCCACTGCCAGATAATGAGATTTTTAAACTACTGTGAGTTTAAGATAAAACATAACATTTTTTAAATATCATTTACAGTGATGGAGTGCTAAGTGCCACAAATGTTTCATTTAGCCTACCTGTTTGTTTTTTTTTAAGTATAATCCAGAAATATATTCTCCCTAAAAGTCATTTGTTCAAATTTTACAACAACATTAGAGAGCGCCAAAATTATCACAGTAGCCTGGAACCCCCTCAATACGCTGAGGGTTAATGACGCTCACCCGGGGACACTCGTTAGCCTGTTCCAATGCGTGTTCACTGAATGCTAGGAAGGACTCTTGCCTTCCCTTTGTAGGATCCTTCGTGGAAAGACTTGTCCTCCCAAGGAAGGATCCTTGACTTTGGGAAACACCATTTGATTATACTGCACGAATTGTTTTCGAGTTTGTAAATAGATGTTTTGATTTTTTGCTGTTGGTAAACCCAGTCAGCAAGAATTCGTTCACTGGAGAAAAAGAAAGTTTTTTTTTTTTTTTTTACAAATTCAATGTAACGCAGCGTGAGTAATACACAAATGATAATTTGAGATGTTAAGTGTTGCACATGAAACTCAACTGATAGAGTCATGTTATGTGTTGGCACATCACTGAGGCTTTCCTTTCATTCTCGAACATGGAGAAAGTTGCTTTTATCTCCAGGCTTAGTTATTTGATTCGCTTTGTAGCAACCAGCCATTGCAGCATGTTGCCTCCAGGCTTGTAACACCCTCTGTGAGAAGTAACCTCATTACCCCAATCCTCACTGCCCTTCACTGGGTGCCTGTCGGTGTTAGAGATGATTTTTACTTCTGGATATCTCTCAACATGTACTTTTAACTTACACAGTTTAGCCCCAGACTTTTACTCATCACTGTAGGATTGCTAATTGTACTCCAGTAAACAGACACAGACCCATTTAGTGCAGATTTTATTGCCCATATGCCCTCTGACAGTGTTGTCTCTCACATTGTGGTCATTTAGTGGTGCACCATTTGGCAACCACTCTGCTGTAATTTGTTCTTCTAGCATGAGGTGGCAGCTGAGCACCAGAATATCTCCAGCAAATATCCCCATCTGCTTCTCAGAGGCTCTGCAGCTCTGACTGTCTTCTTGTTTTTATTCCACTGCAGGCTCCATGATTGTAGATGATGATGATGATGATGATGATGATGATGATGATGAAATTGTGTTTTCATAATGCCTTGTTAAACATAATCACATGTAATTGCGCGCTGTAGCTGGCCTTAACTGTAATAAGCTTAGTAATCAGTGCATCACACACCAGGTGGGACCCAAATGTCATGAATAGCTTTGTGTTCTACAATATTCATATTTACACCCAGCCTGGGTTTATAAAGCAAAATACTCTGTGAGCACATGGATAGGGTGATGCTGGTCTTAGTCGGTTCATCTTCAGTATTTGGTATACTGAGGTTGGTTGATGATTTGTAAGTCACAAGTAAGTCTCAAATCTTTGTGCTCAAGTCACGAGTCAAGTCCTGAATAAAAAAAAAAACAGTCAAGTTCCAAGTCAAGACCAAAAAGTCTCAATTAAGTCCCAAGTCAAGAGCCAACTCAAGACTGGAAAGTCCCAAGTCAAGTCCCAACTCATGACCGAAAAGTCCCAAGTAAGTCCCAAGTCAAGTACCAAGTCAAGATTGGAAAGTCCCAAGTCAAGTCCCAAGTAAAGACTTAAAAGTCCCAAGTCAAGTCCCAACTCATGACTGAAAAGTCCCAGGTAAGTCCCAAGTCAAGTACTAAGTCAAGATTGGAAAGTCCCAAGTCAAGTCCCAAGTAAAGACTGAAAAGTCCCAAGCCAAATCCCAACTCAAGACTGAAAAGTCCCACGTATGTCCCAAGTCAAGTACCAAGTCAAGACTGGAAAGTCCCAAGTCAAGATAAAAAAAATCCCAAGACAAGTCCCAAGTCAACACTGAAAAGTCTCAAGTAAGTCCCAAGTCAAGAGCCAATTCAAGACTGGAAAGTTCCAAGTCAAGTGTCAACTCAAGACTGAAAAATCCCAAGTAAGTCCCAAGTCAAGTCCCAACTCAAGACTGAAAAGTCCCAACTAAGTCCCAAGTCAAGTACCAAGTCAAGACTGGAAAGTCCTAAGTCATGTTCCAAGTAAAGATTGAAAAATCCCAAGTAAGTCCCAAGTCAAGTCCCAACTCAAGACTTAAAAGTCCCAAGTAAGTCCGAAGTCAAGTACCAAGTCAAGACTGAAAAGTCCCAAGTCAAGTTTCACCTCAAGAGTGGAAAGTCCCAAGTAATGCCCAAGTCAAGTACCGAGTCAAGACTGGAAAGTCCCAACTCAAGACTGAAAAGTCCCAAGTAAGTCCCAAGTCAAGTACCAAGCCAAGACTGAAAAATCCCAAATCAAGTCCCATGTCAAGTCCTGAGTCAAGACTCAAAAGTCCCAAGTCAAGTCCTGAGTGAAGACTCAAAATTCCCACATCAAGACTGAAAAGCCCCAAGTCCCAAATCACGATAAAAAAAATTCCTTAGTCTTAGTCTTAGGGTTTCGAGTCTTAAACAAGTCATAATGCCCTTTTCACCAATGTAATGCCATTTTAACAAGAGTAAAATATATTACATTTACAAAAATCATGTATGTTTTTTAAAATTTGTACTTATTTGTTAAAACAAGTTTGTTGGAAGTTTTTGTATCCCTGTCAATCATTTTCAACCCACACGTTTTGCATACTGCAACAAAATTATGTTTGGTATTATTTTTTTGACTGTCTCTCAGTAATGTAACATTAGTTCCTCATGGTTTTTACCTGCAGCTTGATTGGAAGCTGTTGGATTGGTTCAAACAAAGTGGATCATCTTGGAAATCAAATGTAGACTTGCTGGGAATAGTTGATTCAGGAAATGAAATGCCACTTGGCACACTTTTTAAATATAATACTTTTTAATTTTGTATTTCTAAGTCATAAGGCTCAAGTCAAAGTGAAGTCATGAGTCAATGGTGTCAAATTACAAGCTGAGTTGCAAGTCTTTGTTGATTTTGTCAAGTGTAAAGTCATCCAATTTGTGACTCAGGTCTGACACAAGTCATGTGTCTCGAGTTCACACCTCTGCTGTTTTTAGCTCACAAGCTGGATTTGAAAATGCGTAGCAGCCGAGGTTGGTCAGTGATACATATCCTCTCCTGACTACCTTCCTACAGTGAGGACAATCAACCGACATTATCTTATGGATTCATTTAATTTCCCCACAGGCGCTTCAGCACAGCGCTTCTTTCTTTATCTAGCAGGATCATAGCAAAATTACTCATCCTTAAATACAGACGGGGATGGTGTGTGATTTGGTGGCACAGTAGCCACATTTCAGCCCAATGTCTCGCTGGATGATAATAAAAGATTGAAGTCAACATACAGTTTGGCTCCAGTGCCTTTATTAGTAAAGTGCTCAGCCTAGAAGTACATTCTTATATACTAACATGCAATACTAAAAACAACCAAATGTCTGGCCTACCAATAGCATGGATGAAGACATGGCAACGATATTCTCATAGAAAAAAATTACAATGTGAATTCAAGTATACACACAAAACTTCAAGTAATGCACACATTTTCTTTTTTTTATAAACACAAAATACAGTTTTTCAAGTTGCAAACTCAGAATAAAACATAGTTGTGGCACATTCTTTGACATGATTTCAGCAGATGAGAGTGACTAGTGGTTTCTACCGTGGGTGCAGTTTGGGCCATTAAAGTACATTCTACTGGTTTTCAATAAAAGTACTGGAAATGTAGGTCCTGTATTGTGTGTATAATTTGTGAAGCATGTAAGGTTTAAAAACTGCTATGAGCTGTGGCGCACCTTTATCATTAAGGTAGAATGGAACCGTGGTAACCTGAAATCCTCGAAGCTCGCTTCACAGATCACTTACTCTGGATTTATATACAGAATCAGTTTGGAAATACATAACCACATTGCACTGAACTGTTTTAAAGGAGTAGGTCAAAATTTTAGGAAATACACTTGATGAGAAGATCAATACTACCCTCGGTCTGTATGGTAAATATGAAGCTACAGATGGGAAGCTGTTAGATATCAATAACTGAATATTTTGGCCACTTGATGGCAGCAGAAACAAGTTGTGAACACAACAGTGACAAATCATTCACAAAAGATTAAAATCAGGATAAACAGTTACTCTGGCTCAGTCCTAAGGAAACAAAATCTGCCAACCAGCACCTCTAAAGCTCACAAATATCTTGTTTGTTTAGTAAGTACAAAGAAATGGCATTTTTGTGGGGTATAACACTCATGGGGAAATAAAGGTGCTATCTGGAACCATACAGGGTTCTTTAGCTTGTCCCCATAAGAGATCCTTTTTGGGTTCTGGTAAAACCTTCAATATAGATTCCACCTGAAACCCTTTAGGAGGATTCTACCCAGAACCCAACATTTAGTTATAACTACTACCATCTGTGAAAGGTGCCACCCAGAACCCCCTATGAGGGGTTTTACAGAGAACCCTTCTATGATGTAATGGGCTCATCCCGAAACCTCTCTGGAGGCTCTGTCCAGAACCTTTCCACTTTGTAATAGTACTAACAACAACCCACTAAGAGGTTTCTATCAAGAACACTTTTATATTCCAAGGGTTTCATCTAGAATCCACCCAGGATATTCTACCATGAACCATGTCATATTTCAAGGGTTTCATCTCAAACCTACCCAAAGAATTCTACCACAACCTCTGTCACATTTCAAGGGTTTCATCTAGATCCCACCCAGGGAATTCTACCATGACCTTTGTCAAAATTTAAGGGTTTCATCGAGAACCCACCCTAGGAATACTATCAGAAACCATGTCATATTTCAAGGGTTTCATCTAGAACCCACCCAGGATATTCCACCATGAACCATGTTATATTCCAAGGGTTTCATCTAGAACCCACCCAGGATATTCCACCATGAACCATGTTATATTCCAAGGGTTTCAGCTAGAACCCACCCAGGTAATTCTGCCACGAACCATGGCTTATTTACAGTGTTTCATCTAGAACCCACCCAGGGAATTCTACCATGACCTTTGTCAAAATGTAAGGGTTTCATCTAGAACCCACCCAGGGAATTCTACAATGAATCATGTCATATTTCAAGGGTTTCATCTAGAATCCATCGAGGGAATTCTACCACAACTTCTGTCATATTTCAAGGGTTTCACCTAGAACACACGCAGGGAATTCTACCATGAATCATGTCATATTTCAAGGGTTTCAGCTAGAACCTACCCAGGATATTCACATCCAGCAGTCTTGGACTTTCAGAAACTCATAAAGGGTCCCAGATGATGTGGTCCAGCGCAATCCAAAACACTCATGGTTCACAGTCACATCTTTGGGTGAAGGAGATTTTGTGAAATCGCTGCTATTACTACAACCATTACTATTTCAATGTTGCAGTAGGGTTGGGGAATCGAAACTCAAGAATACAAAATGTCAAGTACTGAGTGCCTAAAAAAAAATTCAGCAGACCATGTGGTGTTGTATGGCATAAAGTGATGCTAGAGACATCTACTAAGGCAATACACAAGTAAAATGAAAATATATAAATATTTGAGGGTGAGGATCTTTTATCACCCATGCTCTGAACAATCCTTGGAGAACTCTTTCTTCAAAAAAGGGTTCTTTGGATAAAAAGGGTTTGGAATGGAACCCTAAGTCTTACAAAGAACCCTTGATTAACCCGTTTTTCAAATGTGGGTTCTTATGAGGCAAATTGTTCTGGGTAGCACCTCAGCCCTTAAGCAGGAACCCTATTGGAACCCTTTTTTTTGAGGAAGAATGTATGTGCTGGATCATTTCTTTTCCTGCCGTTACTTCCTGGATAGTCCGACACATAATGCTGCAAAGTGACAAACGTGTTACTGTTACACTGCTACACACGGATTAAACAAGAAGACAGCTATAAGATATAAAATGTTAATTAGTGAGCTTTAGATGTTTTGGTAGGGTGATTTTTTAAGCTCCAGACACAGCCTAGCAACTGTTTACCCATTTCCAGTCTTTATGCTAAGCGAAGCTAACAGTCTCCCTGCTCTAGCTTCATATTCAACACTAGAGAGATATTAAGCTTCTCACAAAACTCTCAAAAAGACAACAATCAAGCTAATTTCCCAAAAAGTCAAAATATACCTCTAAATTCTGATCTCTAGTCATTCCAGTGGGGCGGCGGCTCTAATACTGAAGCAGTTCACACGATACAAAATTACTGGTAATCTCTATATGCATAGATGGCGGTTGGGCGATAGGAATTCTGATGGACTTTAGCTACCTATGGCGCAGTAGTCAGTGGGTCCTGCTTTTCCAGGACGGCAAAACAAAAAGCTCTGTTGCTCAAAAAACAGAGACAAGAGAATGAAGCAATTACACATATCTAAGACAAAAACTGGTCATTGTCTCATCCCTGGACCCGCCCGGTACCTCATATCCCACCAGGATGATACACAACTCCATGCCTTCCCCGGTCCGATCCCAAAATCTTTTTGCTATGAGGAGAGAGCCATCCCTGTAGATTTTCAGGCCAGCGGCTGTGACTCGGCTCTCCACATGGGGTCAGACAGTTCTACCAGATGTATCCTCCATCGTCTGCCTCGCCCTCCTCCTCTTCCTCCTCTTCCGCTTCCTCTCCGGTGTCCTCTGCCTCCTTCTCCTCTTCGTCCTCCCATCCCACTCCACTCCCAAAATCTCCAGAATATCCCGCCACTTCATCTGGAGAAGGACAAATACATGAGGAATGGTTTTGTCATAATGCCAAAACAATTAGATGACTGACAAGCAAAAAATGCCAAACATTAGCTTATTTTAGCCTCTCACATGTGAAGAACATTGCAATCAGGTGACTATACAATGTGCAAAATTCAGATGGAGGGCAGGAAGGGATAAATCCATATACTGTGATTTGAAATAGAGGAATGTGACCACATAAAAGGGTTGGATGAACTTTCAGGCAGCTGGCATTGTCAGAAAATTTAAAGTCTATTGGATGTAATCCATACAAAATTAAGAAAAGCAATTTTTCACACAACTTGACCAATTTGGACGAGTGGATGTGATTGTCATTACACATTACCTCGTCCTCCAGACCTCATACTTTACTACCAACCCAACTGCCAAAAAACAGAATGTTTCTGCAAATCATGGATACGTTACATTTGTACTTTATTTTGTATCGGATATACTGAAACTTAACATTTGTCAACAACGTGTGATGCACATGTTGTTAGGTTTAGGCACAAAAACAGTTTAGTTATCCTTAGGAAAAGATCATATTTTGGCTTAAAACACCCATGTTTGGTGGCACAAAAGCTGCCAGAAAAGCAGGGACAGGTCGATGAAATACTCCCAGGTTCCGAGACTCGAATGCTACTGGGAAACACTGCGGTGTGTAGGTAAAAACACCAAGGTTAGAATGCCATTGGGAAAAGCCTTGATATGTTGGTGAAAAACACTGAGGTTTTGTGGCTCAAACGATGCAATCGTAAAAAAAGAAACACTGCCTATGTGACAAGTCTTAACACATCGCAACAATTTCTGCTGCTGACTGGGCTGGTACAACACGGCTAGCCAGATAAAAACGTTCATGACTCTAGCGGATTATAACTACCTTGTGTGTGGTGGGGTCCCCAACTTTGGAACCAAAGAGTTATGGTCTTGTTTTTGGCCGGATGACTAAATGTGCTTGAGAATTACTGTCTTTTTATATTTCAACTCTGTACATGGATGTGTCGCTGGTGTCAGGCTACTAGCTAGATTAGTGGTTTCCAACTGGTCCAGCCACAGGGTCCAGATTTTTCCTTTGTCATTAGTTCAAGGTCCACACAGTTTAATATATTCAGCGTCATGCTTGCATTTAGCCATGTCTCAAGCCAGTCTGCTATCTCTGCATTCACTTGACAGCAGAAAATGGCACTTCAAAATAAAAGCTCTGTGCTGGAAATTGACTGTACACCACCCATCAGTTGGGAACCACTGAGCTAGATAACCTCAGCTTCTATCGTCAACCATTTCCAGGGTCTGGTGAAAGTCTGTTAAAAACCCTGACACTAGCCAAAACAAAAAATATAGAAGAGTTCATCGCAGCATATTGTAATTGCAAGTAAACACCAACTCAAGATATGTTTAAAGCTTTAACATTAACATTTACCTTTGACATTAGCTGACTCTGCCCCTTCCGAGTTTAGACAGTGGTTTTTGATCCACATCTGCCACCATTTCTCTGTGTTTTTGTTTGACTTCTCTCACATACTACTATTTCAGGACTCACAAGACACGTGTTTTTTATCTGATTTGATCAGCCGGATCATGGGCATTTGTGCAGCGTTGGTTGTTGCTACCTCCGGGTTGCCTGCCCTCCATCAGGACAGTGCACCGACTTATGATGTCGTATGCAAAGACGCTGACTATATGCGTTTTGGAAGGCTGGTTGGAAAAATCGAGCTTTGAAAATGTGTGAGAACCATTTTCTTACATCTTAGAGTAAACAATTAACTGACTGATCAAAAGAGTAACTGACTAAAATCCAATATGAGGTTTTGAATGTGTGCAGCTGTTACTTCCCATCATATGTGCTCCCCGAATACCTTTAAAATATTCTCAAAACAAGTGAAAAACCTGCAAATGTAGGAAGATTACAATTTGTTACATAAAAAACAACTTATTTGAGAGTTTTCTAGAAGCGAGTGTCTATCTTATCAAATAAAAATGAATAAGGCAGGTCAGTGCATTAAAATCAAGAAACCTTGATTTAAATAAAACATGTTGAGTTGCATTGGAAAAAAGGTGAAATCTCACTGCAATGGCAAATAATTTCATGTACTGAGAAAAAAAAACAACAACTTCAAGGACTCACTTACAGCCTAAAATTACTTCATAAGATGGAAATATTCTGGCTGTGTAGAGTGTGAGGAAAAGTGTTTGCCTCATACCACAGTCAGGGTTGCCATGGATTCTGGTGCCCATCATCTCTCCACCATGCTGGTCGACGCACCAGCACTCCCCTCGGCTTTGGTCGCATTGCACTTTCCTGTAGTAGCCGTCCTCGTCGCAGCTGGGAATGTACATCCCTGCGCACACAAACATGCACACACATGCCTGGTTGTTAAATATTTATACGCTTAGCACACATAGCTGCCTCATGCTGATGCCTGAGATGAGCACAGCATAAACGAGAATGCCAACACGCCTCAGCGAACCTGTGATAAGACCATCAGTCAGGATAGAGAGGCGGATTTTTGGCAGTGAATACCACGGAGACAGAGAAAGCTTCACTGTTTGTTTTACAGAAGCATGCATATGCTGCTGGATGTGATTTCGTACAGTATGTTGGCGTGGTGTGTTTCCTTATGCTGTGAGAGTGGCATGTAAAAAAATGTAGTGACAGCCTCGGTGACAGAGCTCCAGTGTTTCAGCCTCCCTCAGGACACTCTTGTCAAACCCAAAGCAGTTCTCTAACAAGCACCAAACCCCTCCCTTTCCTCCCCTCCTCTCCACAACCGTGAAAACTAGAGAAAACACAAGCAATGAGACAAGTAGGCCTCGGGGATGGCAGAACATTTCTCTGGGTTTGGAGCTGAAGAGTAAAAAAGCAGCTGTGTTGCATGCTTGGTAGATACTGGAGCATGGGTTTTCTCAGGGAGCCAAATGGCCGAGTTAGCCCTGCTCTTTCCTAAAGCCAGCGCTGCCCTCTAATCCCCCCCCAGCTTGATTAGGACCTAATCTGAGGCGTGCGCTTGTGATCTCTTAAATGAGCCTCCTCCAGCTCCTCGCCTGCAGCCTTATTACGTAAGTACACCCAGGGACGCGGAGTGAGTGCGGGGGCACATGCCAGCTCGACGGTGCACTTCATGGCTCACTATATGGCATCATGTGGCTTTGAAAGGATCTGAAGTGAGTCAGTGCTAATTTCCTGTCCAAAAGGTGCTCCTACTCAAGTAGTGTTTAAAGGGGACATATTATGCTTCTCCTTATTTTCTTTCATGTTTATGATGTTAGTGTGAGATCTTCATATTAAACCTGGCCAAAGTTTCAAATAACGAGCTAAATGTGCATAGGAGAATCTGTATACTCTGTTTCCAACTGTTTTTTTTACTTCCAAAACAAGTTAACATTAGTTTGTGATGGATTTCTTAATGGTCATCTACAAGTGTTTACATTAGCCTGCATACACTGCTACATGTAGCAACATGCTAACATCTGGGAAACATGTTCTTTTGTTTGCTGATGTTAAGTTTGACCCAATTTCTAATCATATTCTTGCTGGAACGTGTCAGTTCATGATGATTTTGGTTTTGAAGCTTTTATTGGTGATTTTTCATGATAAAGTGCAGTTATTCTCCGTTACAGTCATTCCCTTGCAACAGCTAAATGGCTACATGTAGCTACATGCTAACATCAGGGTCACATCATGTAACCTTAGTTCCTGATGTTGTCAATTTCTCCAACCCAGTCTCACTATGAAGTCTTCGAAATCTGGTGCTTGGGCAATGACTTCCGGCATCAGACACCTACAAAAAAACGAAAACCGTCCTTTAATGTCAGCATGATACGCGGCTGGTGGTGTCAAGGGAAAAGCACAGTGTAATTAACACGGCTGTTACCTGAGTTATTCCACAGGCTAGTTAATAACATGTCGGGCAGGAAATCCAAAGTGTGGGATCATTTTGAGAAGGTGAAGGACGAACCCAAGGTGATATGTAAACTCATCTTCATTGGTCAACTACAAACATGACGTATCATCTGAAACATGGAAGTAGCTACATGCCCATTGGCCCACAGCATCATTAACAGGCGGCTCGCTCAGTGTGTGACGTGCACTTGTAGATAAAATATAGGCCTATATTAATGAAGGTTCATTAGTACGGTTTTGTATTTCTCTGTAATGTAGCACAGTGTTAACAATGTTACTGATACTATTCTTTCTCACACCTTCAACTCAAACCATTGTGTTGCCCCGCCCAGAATATATAACTTAATAATTAAATTAATATCGTAAACGACTAGTCGACTAAGGGCCCTAAATGATGACTATTGGTCGACTAGGAAAATACGCTGTGTGACAAGTCAAAATGTCTTCCTTGAAAAAGGCCTACAACAGTGGAGAGATGCCTAATAGTGCCAATGTAAAAGACCCGGAAATGCTGACCACTCAGAGCAGACTGCGCTTTCTAAGGAGGGGGGCTTAAAGAGACAGGCGCTAAAACAGAGTGTTGCACACAGGGTGAATGCAGGTGTTCCAGCACAGACAGTATGAGGGAAATAAAGTGTTTTCTGACCATTAAAGCATGTAAACATGTTCTAGTGGAACACTTATATAGAAGTATGGGCCTGAAAATGAGCATGATATGTCCCCTTTAAAAATCTTCAATCAAATATACCTTCAACATCACAGCACTGCTATTTAAGATAAATGATAAATTTACCAGGCTTTTTCTTGGCTGCCTCCTGCACTTGGATCCTCTCCATCTCGGCGAGGCACGGCGGCTCTGTGAGAATCAAACAAGAAAAGTGATGACAGACGAAACCTAAAACTGCTATCCCCAAACTTTATCTCAATCAATGCTTTTCATAATTACACCTTCTTTTTTTTTTTGCACCGTATTGATTTGTTTAAAAAGTCTTATATTTCATTCTCTGTGAGTCTGATCGATCATCGAGAGCTTAGGTGTAAGAACATATGGATGCAGTCTGAGAGCAACAAGGAAGTGAGCTGAACCTGTCGAAGAGATAGAAATAGAAACAAAGAAGAAAAAGACACATCGTATTGACCCCGAAGGCGATGAACCTTCCCTAGTGCTTGCAGATTTTCACAGCATTTCTATTGTGCTGGAATTCACGGCACATTATCAATGCCTGTTAAAATAACAGTTTGTAATCATCTCTACACGTGTAGCGTGACGTCCTGTTCCAAATCATCATCGTAAAACCATTATCACATAATGGTTTATAAATACCACCAGCTAGTGATGAAAAATTGATTAGGGAGCCAGTGTCACCTATTGCACGCAGGTTAAATGCCTGATCAATGGAGCAATCGGCGTGCAAATGAGGTTACTGCCAGAAATATCCTTTATTTGTTTAGGAAAGGTCAAACGGTGCAGATGTTGCAAATGAGCACAGCTGAAGAAGCTCTGTGAGCGTAGGCAGCATCCACAGAGACACCTGATCATTTTACAACATGAACAAAATGTCAGGAACAGGGCTTCAAAAGAATGCGTTTATTTCTAAATGAATATTTCAGCGCAGGGTTTTTAGATTAATTCTAAGCTCATTTTGCCTGACATTTTTCTAAAGGGTATTAGGTGGTGAGGGCAGGTGAAGAGTGTAAAATGTTTAACTTATAGACATCACCCTGAAACTTCCCCAGTGGATTACTTAGAGTCAGACAATTACTATCATTATTTGGTATCACAGGTTCTCAGAAATTTAACGTTTAAATGCAAATTATGCATTATCTAATTAAATATGTGCGCATTTGCAGTAATTTCCAGAACATTGGATGAAGCCAGGTTCAAAATTCTTGTTTGATTTTGTTGTCATATTAAAGTGCGCCAGGATTTGAAGCCAGTTTTCATGGTGGCCAAAAAATTGAGCATAGCGTTAGTTCAGGCAGGACACGATGTCAAGCTCAGCTCACATCCCAGCTACATCAACTGATCTCAAACAGCCCAATCAACTGATGGAGCAGCTGGTTGATGGAAGGGAGTCAGCTGATAGATCACATGATTCCTTTCTATGCAACCAATTGGTGAATCTCATTCAGGGCGCTCTATTTAAACTGCTCTGGCCTGCCTACTGTTGCTGCTTCTTCTGCAAGCTGCTTGGCAACCAACCTCCACCCCAGCTCCTCCTTTTCATGCTGTGTCTGACTTATCAATGTCATTTCTGTTTGTCATTGATGCTGCTCTCTTCTGTTCCCAGGGGTCTTTGCTGCTGCTCTCCCTGCCTTAGGCTTTCCATGTGGGCGCATGGAAGGGCAGGGAGGTTTGCTCTCTCTGCCTCAGACTTCTTGTCTGCACATGTAAGGGCAGACAAGTGTGCTCTCTCTGCCTTAGGCTTTCCACGTAGGCGCGTGGAGAGGCTTTTTGTGTAGGCCAGAGGAAACGACGAAAGGCAGAGAGGCCCCAGAAAAGAGCAATACCGCCAAATGTAACACTGCAAATGGAAATAAAGTTTTATATGACTTAAGTGGTCCTGTCTGAAGTGGAATTCTAATTTCTGGGTCCACCACAAGATGACTTGTGGCCCAAATAGAATTTGCCCATTGACTAAGATCAATGCCAAAAAAGGAAGGGTGCTCAAAGTGCAAAACATAATAAAAAGTGGTTAAAAACAGCAGCAAACGTTTCAGTCCTTGACTATCAGCAGTGCTACTGATATGAGTGCTTCACAGCACAGATACAGGCACACACACAGATTCCTACCAGGTGTGATGAATCAGTGACCTGTCCTATGAGTATTGCCAATGTATAACAGCAGAACATACAAATGTATAAAAAACCCACAACTATACACAGAAAAAAATAGGTAAATTAAAAATAAAATAACATAAAATAAAAAGAAATATATTGATTGTCCATTGTACAGATGCACCCAATATAAACTTTTTTGTTGCCCTAAGTAGGCGTAGTTTCACAGCAGCCCTAGAACTAATAGATGTCGCCATGGAACATCCCCAGTTGATTACTTACATGAAGTCAATTTTTTCTCATATTACAAGTTCCCTGAAATATTTTGTTTTAATATGCAAATGAGGCATCTAATTAAGTATGTGCTTTTTCCATATATTTCCAGAAAAGAAATGTGAACAAAAATAAATCCCTAAATGTGTATGTTTGACGTATTATGGAAGCAAATAAGCTCATCTGTGGTGTCTCGTCTAAAAATCCTAGCTCACAGTGTCACCATGTAACTCAAGTAATCTGTTTTTCAGCTTTTATATGAAACCAAATAAGTTTTTTCATTTTATTCCTGGAAAAAAAGAACCATGGTTTTGGTCAAAAATAAAAAAATATTGAATCAAATCAGATCTTAAAACCATGTTTCAATAATCACTGACATTTAAAACACAAGATGGAGGGATATTATATGACCTCATAAAGCCTTGCAAAGTGCTGGCATAGAAGACATACATCTGATATCACCATAAATTCAGCCTTGCCTCCAGCTAGGCTTCTCTCTTTTTCTTTTTTTTTAACAGACGTCACATAACCCCAATCCTGGCTTCTCCCAATAGGTCCCTGTTTGTTTTAGAATTGATTTTAAGATTTTACTGAACACTTTCAAAGCTCATCTGGGTCCCCGCGATACATAGCAGACACATGAGCCAGTTCACAGCCTTAGATCCTCAGGTAGTGCCCCTCTGGCTGTTCCAAAGTCGAGGCTTAAATCTAAAGGTGATTGTCTTTTTGCCATCACGGCTCCTCGACTTTGGATCGAACTGCCTGAGGAGATAAGACTCGCAGAATCGGTGACATCTTTTAAATCACCTCTTAAAACCCATTTTTATAGACTTGTTTTTATGTGATGTCTTTTTATTTCCTTAAATTTTGTCTTTTTATTACTTTTATTACCTTCATTCTTTTTATTTGTATTTATTTATGTTGACATTTTGTGTCTTGCATTTTGCATTTTTGGCTGTCTTGTTTGAACTTTGTCTTAATTTTGTCTCCTTTATGTTTGGTTGGACTGTTTGGCGTTCTGTCTCTACATTGCCTTCTGAGTATCCTGTTTCTGCTTTTGAGTTGTCCGTCAAGGCACTTTATAAACTCTGTTTTTGCAGGTACCATATAAATAATCTGCAATTAAACATTCATATAAAAGAACAATATAACTATTGGTAAATTGGTGGAAGCTGTAAAAAGTAGATTTCTTTTCTAAGAATGAGACACCGTGCATTCAGAAAGTGTTCAGACTGGTTTTGTTGTTGCTCTCTTATGCATTGTCAGCTGTGGGAGCTTATATAGACAGGTTTGTGTGTGCCTTTTCAAGTCATGTCCAATCAGCTGAATTTACCACAGCTGGACTCCAATGAAGGTTGTAGAAACAGCTCAAAGATGATCAAGAGAAATAGGAAGCACCTGAGTTAAATGTCAAGTGTCAGAGCAAAGAGTCTGAATACTGAGGCTTTTCCTTTCAACAACAAACATTTCTAAAATCATATTTTTGCTCATTACGCTGCATTGAGTGCAGAGTGATGAAGGGGAAAAAATAATTTAAGGCTGCAACATGAAATGTGTAAAAAGATGAAGGGGTCTGAATACTGTCTGAACGTGCTGCTGCTGAACAGAGGAAAAACAATCTTTCAGTGGAACCTCGACACCCATATGATCAATGCTGAAGAACCAGCAGGGGGTTGATTGAAGGGAACAGTCGACCCTGAACACAATGACACTTTGTTATTGGACTTCTGTGCTAATCATAGACTGTCTCCAGGGAACACCATGTTCAGGCATGGTTGATGAGCGTACCTGGTACCAGAGGGATCAGTGATGGATCTGTGGCTGTATGTGTCGGACACTTGGATGGAACAAGTTGTGACCATTAAAGAGGTAGTTTGGATTTCTTGAGGTAGGGTTATATGAGGTACTTATCCATAGTCAGTCTCTACCTACAGTCAAGAGCAGTGGACACGCCCCCAGTTTGGAGAAGCAGCAGCAGTACTGACAGTGAAGCTATGTACTGCACTGGACGTATTTGGAACACAGGAGCTGCTGGTCTAGTGCTGCCTTGATTAGGGAGTTTGTTTGTCTTTGTGTGTGGTTTATCTTAGGCCACTGCCCCCATCCACAGCACTATTTATTTTTAATTTATTTTATTTGACCTTTATTTTACCAGGAAGTCCCATTGAGATTGACAGTCTCTTTTACAAGAGAGACCTGGCCAAGGTAGCAGCCAATCAGAACACATTTAAAATGCAACAAATTCAACATATAATACAAAAATTCACAATAAAACAACAACTATTCAAACATAGAGGCCTCTCAAGAAGAAGAAGAACCACTTGGAGGAGCGTTGCTGGTAACTATCAGAGCTGTTGCTTAGCTTCTGTGGCAGTACTCCTGCCCGCTTCTCCAAACTGGTAGACTCCCATCTACTGTTGGTGATACACTGACTATGGATAAGTACATCATAAGCCTTGTTTCTACCAAGCAGTCCGGTTCAGTTCAGTTCAGTTCACATTAGAAAGCTCATTTTTGCATTCCCATGGTCAAATGTTGTGGATGGTAGCAACAGACCCATTCTATTCTGTCCTGTTTTTCCTCACCCCTCTGTTGAGGTACCTCAAGCCAGAGTCACTGTAGTCTACAGAGTGGTCAAAAGTGAACAGTTACTCTTGCTGTACAAGGACTTTTTTAAATATACCATTAACTGTGACAGAGACTTTAACCACTCCAGCCTGTTCTCTTTTGTTCTGAAATTTCCGCTGTATAGCCCTGTTCCGTGAATCATTAACAAGGTGTAGACTGTTCCCGGCTCACCCTTT